AAACTTACATCAATGGATCGAAGATCTTGTGCCTTTTCAGATCAGACCAAAGTTGCCAGATATGAACTATTTTGAGCTCTTTTATGCCCCAATACAAGGAGTCAAGTATGTGCGGGAAGACGAAATGTAACGTGGTAACACAGGAAGAATTGCATTAAACAAGCAAGCAGTTCCAAAAAAACTTCTGCCTTCTTTTGCAGATCTCTCCCTAACTGTAGTAAATATGGATATGAAACTTACATCAATGAATTGAGGATCTTGTGCCCTTTAGGATGAGCGCAAAATTGCCAGATATGGAGAATATTGAGCTTTTTTATGCCCCAAAGCAAGGAGTCAAGTATGGGCGGGAAGACGACCTGAAACGTGTAAACAAAGGCAGAATTACGCAAAACTAGCCAGCAGTAACACATTAACTCTTGCCTTCTTTTGCAGATCTCTTCCTAACTGTAGTAAATATGGATATGAAACTTACGTCAATGGATTGAGGATCTTGTGCCCTTTCAGATCAGACCAAGATTGCCAGATATGGACAATTTCCAGCTCTATTATGCCCCAATACAAGAAGTCAAGTATGCGCAGAAAGACGAAATGTAAAGTGGTAGCACAGGAAGAAATGCATTAAACTAGCAAGCAGCTCCAAAAGAACTCCTGTCTTCTTTTGCAGATCTTCCCCTAACTATAGCAAATATGGATATGAAACTTACATAAATGGATCGAGGATCTTGTGCCTTTTCAGATCAGACCAAAGTTGCCAGATATGGAGAATATTGAGCTCTTTTATGCCCCACAGCAAGGAGTCAACTATCCACGGAAAGACGAAATGTAACGTGGTAACACAGGAAGAATTGCATTAAACTAGCAAGCAGTTGCAAAAAAGTCCTGCCTTCTTTTGCAGATCTCTCCCTAAATGTAGTAAAAATGTATATGTAACTTACATCAATGGATCAAGGATCTTGTGCCTTTTCAGATCAGACCAAAGTTGCCAGATATGGAGAATATTGAGCTCTTTTATGCCCCAATACAAGGAGTCAAGTATGTGCGGGAAGACGAGCTGAAACGTGTAACAAAGGCAGAATTACGCAAAACTAGCAAGCAGTAGGACAGGAACTCTTGCATTCTTTTTCAGATCTTTCTCTAACTATAGCAAATATGGATATGAAACTTACATAAATGGATCGAGGATCTTATGCCCTTTCAGATGAGACCATGATTGCCAGACATGGCCAATTTTGAGCTCTTTTATGCCCCGATACAAGTAGTCAAGTATGGACGGGAAGTAAACCAGACACGTGTACACAAAGGCAGAATTACACAAAACTAGCAAGCAGTTACAAAAGAACTTCTGCCGTCTTTTGCAGATCTTCCCCTAACTATAGCAAATATGGACATGAAACTTACA